GGATCCCTGATCTAATCCAACCCACTGTCAGACAGGTTCAATAATAAAGCTGAACTTCAGACTTTCCCACAAATACCAGTGAAGCAAGTTTTGAATAGAAACCTATTTAAAGAAACCTCAAAGTTTACAGAAGTATATACCTTTAAGATGGCAATGTGACCTGAGCATGATCTGTGTGCATGGAATGCAGAGGGGTAAATGGAAAGGAATCTAAGTGAGTGAAGAAATGTGAGATACAAGACAGAAAGGGAGCAAAAAAGAAATTGAAGAAGAGAGAAGACAGTCCCGCCCCCGCCCCCCCCAAAAAAAACCTTGGCATCTTGTTTTTTAGGCCTGTTCCTGGGGTTATTTGGGGGCACCGATTCAGAAAATTGCATTCGATAGACCACATCAGCTCTAGTTTCTTAGATATGGTTATCAGGACTTCTTTTTAAGGCCAAGCAGATGGCAACTGGTAGATGGCATATGTTCTGTATCTCAAAAACTAGAACTCATAAGAGGGGAAATGGTGCCTTTCTTTGAATCAGCCCATCAAATATATCCAGAAATAGGACTAACATTTGGGGCACCAAAATGTGTGTTGGCCAGTATAATGGATAGATAAGTCGCATAGCTGGGAAAAGCTATCTTTCTAGCAATGCTCACAGAATCCACTAGTCAACGTGTCCACAAGGAGTTTTAATCTAAATAAGTAACTTTTCCAAAATCAATGTAAGTGAGCCAAACACAGATTTAGCTGAAGCTTTCCCAACCTTGTAGCTTCCACGTGTGTTGGGCTACAACATGCTGGATCGGGATAAGAATGAAATGATCTCATACACAGAGTTAGGAAACATGTGACTGATGAGAGAGATTTCACTCTCTTTCCCCTGCTAAAAATTAAGCCTTACAGTTACATTAAGTTACATGGCAGTGAGTCTAACTGGCCTCAAATGCATTTACTTCCAAATTATGGTACTGATCCTACTTACTTCCAAATCTCAGGAGCTTCCATTTTGATTGGAGCAGCCCTCCTGGAAAATTGAGGTTTTCTACACTGCTATCTAATCCAGATAATCAAAGTAGATAATCCACATTGTCTGCTTCGAACTGGATTATGTCTACACTGCCATATAATCCAGTTCAAAGCAGATAATTTGAATTTTATATGGCAGTGTACAAGGGGCCTCAGTTGTTGTAACCTTTTATATCAATGCCATACTCTAATTTTCCTATACTAAATCACCCCATGAAACTGATATGAGCCCCACTTCAATAATTTTTGAGAAACTGCAAGTCACTTCTGGTGTGAGAGAATTGGCCATCTGCAAGGACGCTCCCAAAGGTAATGCCTGGATGTTTTAATGTTTTGACCATCCTTGTGGGAGGCTTCTCTCATGTCCCCACATGGGGAGCTGGAGCTGACAGAGGGAGCTCAACCCGCTGTCCCCGAATTCGAACCGCTCACCTGTCAGTCTGCAGTCCTGCTGGCACAAGGGTTTAATCCACTGTGCAACCAAATGTGCACATATGTAGTTATATATGTGAATACTTGTACTGTATTAGAAAAAAAACACACAAGGCTTCCTCCTGTCAGGAAACAGATTTTTAAGATTTCCCATCCCATGCAGAAGTCAAATATGTTTTGCTTGTCTGTGTGTATGCATGCATACACAAATTATTTGTTACATTTATATCTCACTTCCCGTCTAAGGATGTATGTATGGTCCTCCTCCCCATCTTCATCTTCAGAGCAACCCTGCAAAGGATCTTAGGGTGAGATGGACCAAGGCCCATTCTACATGGGGATAGGGAAAGGCGGGATATAAATAGGGTAAATAAATATAATCCAGATTATTAAACCAGATAATAGGGTAAATAAATATAATCCAGATTATCAAACCAGATTATCCAGAGTATCTGCTTTGAACTAGATTATATGAGTGTACAATGCTATATAATCCGGTTCAAAGCAGATAATCTGGATTGTATATGGCAATGTAGATAGGGCCTCGGAGGGAGTCCTAAAGGGATCTACTGTTTCCATCTCACTGGACATGCTCAACATCTGTATATTGCAAAAAAACAAAAAACAAAACACCACAAATGTTCCCCATTTCCTCCTTATCAGGAAATTGATTTTTGGGTTTCCCACCACATAGGGGAAGTAAGTGAGGCACGCAACAATACATTTTGCTTTGTGTTGTCTTTTGCTATTTATTCAAAACGCGGTGTGGAAATTTACCAAGCTCAAGCAAAGCTTTCCAAATGAGACCCCTTCAACACCGCGATATAACCCAAATTATCAAAGCAGATAATCCACATTATCTGCTTTGAACTGAATTATATGAGGCCCCTTTTACACTGCATATAAAATCCAGATTATTTTATTTCAGTGGTTCTCAACCTGAGGGTCTCCAGATGTTTTGGCCTTCAACTCCCAGAAATCCTAACAGCTGGTAAATTGGCTGGGATTTCTGGAAATTGTAGGCCAAAACACCAGGTTGAGAACCACTGTTTTATTTGAACTGGATTATATAGCAGTGTAGACACATATAATCCAGTTCCAAGCAGATAATGTAGATGTTCCGATTTGATAATCTGAATTATATGGCAGCGTAAATGGGGCCTGAGTCTACACTGCCATATAATTCAGTTCAAAGCAGATAATATAGATTATCCACTATGATAATCATAGTAGATAATCCACATCATCTGCTTTGAACTGGATTATATGGCAGTTTGGACTCAGATAACCCAGTTCAAAGCGGATATTGTGGGATTTCCTGCCTTGATATTCTGGGTTATATGGTTGTGTGGAAAGGCCCTTGGATATACGGTAAGTCCCCTTCGAGGTGAGTCCCCTTCGGGGTGAGAAGGGCGCCATATAAATAGCATAAATAAATCTATATAAATAAAAATGTAATGTTCGTTTGTGGGATTAACATAATTCAAAAACCACTGGACGAATCGACTCCAAATTTGGACACAATACACCTGTCAGATCAACAAGTGACCATCACTAATAAAAACACTGGAAAACAAAGCAGAACAGACTTAAAAATAATAATAAAAAAAACCCTGCAACGCATACGCAAAACCACACATATATACATAAACACACATATACACAAATATATACACACACATACATGCACAAAACACATATACATCGACTGTGCCACAGCAACATGTGGCAGGGGACAGCTAGTATTACAATATAATGGTATAGTACAATATAGTAATATTTAATACTGATATTGTACTAGGCTAATAATATATTGTATGTATATATATCTTGTAAGCCTCTCTGAGTCCACTTCAGGGTGAGAAGGGCGGCATATAAATAGCATAAATAAATCTATATAAATAAAAATGTAATGTTCGTTTGTGGGATTGGCATAACTCAAAAACCACTGGACAAATTGATTCCAAATTTGGACACAGTACACCTAGCAGGCCAACAAGTGACCATCACTCATAAAAACACTGAAAAGCACAGTGGAAGAAACTTAAAAAGCAAAAAAAAACCCCACATTACAACACCTGCCACAGCAATGTGTGGCAGGGGACGGCTAGTCTTAGATAAATAAAAACGTAATGTGCGTTTGTGGGATTAACATAACTCAAAAACTACTTGACAAATTGACACCAAATTTGGACACAAGACACCTAACAACCCAATGTATGTCCTTCACTAAAAAAAAATTTTTGTCATTTGGGAGTTGTAGTTGCTGGGATTTATAGTTCACCTACAATCAAAGAGCATTCTGAACCCCACCAACAATGGAATTGAACCAAACTTGGCACACAGTTCTCCCATGACCAACAGAAAATAGTGGAAGGGTTTGGTGGGCAGTGTCCTTTGGTTTTGGAGTTGTAGTTCACCTACATCCAGAGATCACTGTGGACTCAAACAATGATGGATCTGGACCAAACTCTACACAAATACTCAATATGCCCAAATGTGAACACTGGTGGAGTTTGGGGAAAATAGACTTTGACATTTGGGAGTTGTAGTTGCTGGGATTTATAGTTCACCTACAATCACAGAGCATTCTGAACCCCACCAACAATAGAATTGGGCCAAACCTCCCACACAGAACTCCCGTATGTGCCACAGCAACGTGTGGCAGGGGACAGCTAGAATCTAAATAAAAATGTAAAGACCTCAGTACCTCTGAGGATGCTTGCCATAGATGCAGGCGAAACGTCAGGAGAAATGCCTCTAGAACATGGCCCTATAGCCCGAAAAAACCTACAAGAACCTAATGTAATGTTTGTTTGTGGGATTAACTAACTCAAAAACTACTTGACAAATTGACACCAAATTTGGACACAATACACCTATCAGGCCAACAAGTGACCATCACTCATAAAAACACTGAAAAATATAGCAGAAGAAACTTAAAAAGCAAAAAAAAACCCCACATTACAACACATGCCACAGCAATGTGTGGCAGGGGACGGCTAGTCTTAGATAAATAAAAATGTAATGTTCGTTTGTGGGATTAACATAACTCAAAAACTACTTGATGAATTGACACCAAATTTGGACACAATACACATATCAGGCCAATGAGTGACCATCGCTCATAAAAACACTGAAAAACACAGCAGAAGAGACTTAAAAGCCAAAAACAAAAATTTCATTACAACACATGCACTAAACTACATATACACATATTCACAAATATATATACACACACAAAAACACAGACTGGGGCACAGCAACACGTGGCAGGGGATGGCTAGTAAATAAATAAATATCAAGGCAGGAAATCCCACAGTATCTGCTTTGAAGTGGACTATATAGCAATGTAGTCTCAGATATCCCAGTTCAAAGCAGATATTGTGGGATTTCCTGCCTTGATATTCTGGGTTATAGGGCTGTGTGGAAGGGCCCTTAGTGCTGTGCAATTACTAGAAGCACCACCCCAAAAACACAGTGCTCAGAACCCCCTGCTCATCATCCTCATCATCAACAACAACACAGAGCACCCCTCTTTGGCTCTTCTTACCCTGTCTGCCTGTGTGCCTGGCTTCTTCCTGCCTTGGGGCTGAGTCTCCTCGCAGGCTTTGCAGCTCAGCCCTTTAAAGCCCAGCCTCCTGCCTTTTGCCTCTCGCTTCTGGACCCACTCGAGACCAGGGGTGTGGCGGGAAGCCGGGTCCTGCCAGGGCTTCCTGTCGGCGGGGAAGTGAGCTCAGAAGCCCACGAATGAAAGCTCCCGCTCCAGCTGTAAACAGGAAACAGCAGCAGAAGCTAAAGAAGGGGAGGGGAGTGGAGGGGGGGGGTCTCTATGGGGAGGGAGGGGGTCAAGGGCAGGGCAAGAGAAACAGGATGTTTGTTTAAAGGGGGCAATTTAAAGCACCCAGGAACTTGATGGGATGCCTCCAAGTCCCCTATGGGTTTTCTTAAGGTGCATAACGTTAAAGCGTTCTCAAACTGCATTAAAGTTTAATGTAGATGCACCCTCTTATACCCCACTGTGGCCCACTCTGGTGGTCATAGGGGTTCTGTGTGGGAGGTTTGGCCCAATTCTATCGTTGGTGGGGTTCTGAATGCTCTTTGATTGTAGGTGAACTATAAACTCCAGCAACTACAACTCCCAAATGTCAAGATTCTATTTTCCCCAAACTCCACCAGCGTTCACATCTGGGCATATTGAGTATTCGTGTAGAGTTTGATCCAGATCCATCATTGTTTGAGTCCACAGTGCTCTCTGGAAGTAGGTAAACTACAACTCCAAAACCAAAGGACACTGCCCACCAAATCCTTCCAGTATTTTCTGTTGATCATGGGAGAACTGTGTGCTAAGTTTGGTTCAATTCCATCGTTGGAGGGATTCAGAATGCTCTTTGATTGTAGGTGAACTATATATCCCAGCAACTACAACTCCCAAATGACAATCAATTTTTTGAGTGAAGGACATACATTGGGTTGTTAGGTGTCTTGTGTCCAAATTTGATGTCAATTTGTCCAGTGGTTTTTGAGTTCTGTTAATCCCACAAACGAACATTACATTTTTATTTATATAGATACATTATATGGCAGTATAGACCAGGCTTGGGCAAACTTCGGCCCTCCAGGTGTTTTGGACTTCAACTTCCACAATTCCTAACAGCCTACTGGCTGTTAGGAATTGTTGGAGCTGAAGTCCAAAACACCTGGAGGGTCAAAGTTTGCTCAAGCCGGGTCTACACTGACCACACAATGTAGTTCAAACTGCATTATACAGTAGTGTAGAAAAGCAGTTGTTGTTGTTGTTGTTGTTGTTGTTGTTATTCAGGGTTTTTTCCCAGTTTCCTGGTGGTCCTAACACCAAGAAATGTGTGGTTGCTTCATAGATAACTCATGGCTCTGTGTATGGGTAACTCTGAAACAGAAGGCCTCTGCTATGTGATCTGGGGTAAAGCTGGAAAATTACTGGAAAAATATCCAAGTTGATGGACTATTTCCACAATCAGCAATGGTCATGGAAATCTATGTGTCCTGCTTGATTCACAGAACCAGTATGTGTAACACACAAATGTTATATCATTGGATTTATTATGGTCAGTGTCTGGTAGTTGAATGGGTGATTTTTTAAATTTTTTTTTTTTTGTCGTATGAGAAGCGACTTGAGAAACTGTAAGTTGCTTCTGGTGTGAGATTATTGGCCGTCTGCAGAGACGTTGTCCAGGGGATGCCCGGATGTGTTACCATCCTGTGGGAGACTTCTCTCATGTCCCCACATGGGAATCTGGAGCTGACAGATGGGAGCTCACCCCATCTCATGGATTTGAACTGCCAACCTTCAGATCTGTGGTTCAGCCAGCCCAAGGGTTTAATCCATTGTCCCACCGTGGCTCCTTAAGAGTGAATTGATTCCATTGATTTGAAGATGCCATTCCATATCTGTAATGAGAATTCTGGAAGAAACGTGGTTGATGCTGTCAGGCAAACTTTAACCATAAAACATTTCAAAAAAGAAAAGAGAATAACCTTCCAGTTGCATTGGTTCTCTTAGATGTACTTAAAGCCTTTGATTGCCTAGACTGGCAATATAAGTTCAAACTGCTGAGATCAGTGGTCCTCATACTTTTAAAGCCAAGGGCCAGTTCACGGTCCGTCATACTGTTGGGGGGCCAGACTATAGTTTGAAAAAACACAAACGAATTCCTATACACTTCACATACCTTAGTACAAAAAACATGAAAGAACAATAAAAAGTAAAGTTTTTCCCCTTGACATTAAGTCTAGTTTTGTCCAACTCTGAGGGCTGGTGCTCATCTCCATTTCTAAGCCAAAGAGCCAGTGTTGTCTGTAGACAACTCCAAGATCATGTGGCCAGCATGACCGCATGGAGTGCCATTACCTTCTCACCGAAGCAGTACCTTTTGATCTACTCACATTTGCATGTTTTCAAACTGCTAGGTTGGCAGACGCTGGGGCTAACAGCAGAAGCTCATCCCGTTCCATGGATTCTAATTGCCAACCTTTCAGTCAGCAAGTTCAGCAGCTCAGTGGCAGGGCACCACCAGGGCAGAACAATGCAATATTTAAAATTAAGAACAATTTAACCAACGTAAACTTACCCATATTTCAGTGTGAGCCTGCTCTTGACTTGATGAAATAGTCAAGCTAATTAGGATCGTTGTTGTTGTTGTTGTTGTGTGCCTTTAAGTTGTTTCAGACATACAGCGACCCTAAGTCTAACATTTAGGATGGAGACTGGATAAATGACCTTGGAGGGCTGCATTGGCCCATGGGCCTTACTTTGGGTATCTCTGCCTTAGATGCATGAATTGGGAGCAAGGATTTGTGAATATGTGCCAGAAACTCTATAGATGTTTACTTGCTGTTGTGGACATCAAGTCTGTTGATTTTTAAAGATTCTCTCTGCCCCAGGTACCACATAGCGGTGGTTCTCAACCTGTGGGTCCCCAAATGTTTTGGCCTTCAACTCCCAGAAATCCTAACAGCTGATAAACTGACTGGGATTTCTGGGAGTTGTAGGCCAAAACACCTGGGGATCCACATACAGGGATGTCCTCTTTCATGTCTGTTAATTGTTCAAACATTGGAAGCTTTTATCTTAATTAATTCACATAGACCCAGATATTAAGGTTGTGATTTGTGTGTGTGTGCGTGCGCGTCAGGAACTACTTGAGAAACTGCAAGTAGCTTCTGCTGTGAGAGAATTGGCCGTCTGCAAGGACATTGCCCAGGGGACTCCCAGAGGTTTTGATGTTTTACCATCCTTGTGGGAGACTTCTCTCATGTCCCTGCATGGGAAGCTGAAGCTGACAGAGGGAGCTCATCAGTGCTCTCCCCAGATTCAAACCTCTGACCTGTTGGTCTTCAGTCCTGTTGGCACAAGCATCAATGGCTCATTTACTGTCACAAAATTTCATTGTATTGAATTTGGTTACGCACAAAACCTAAGCACGTACCTGGTAGTGTGTTGAATTGAAAGGATTTGGGGACAAAACTAAACTTGGTCCTTTGCTCTAGTTGGCAAAGTGTTAGGTGACACATTTCTTCAATTATCTCTCATTGAAACCACCTTGAATCCAGAGGGATATTTTCCGAGGAAGAGAAAAGTATGAAGAGAAAACTATTCCAGAATGTAGTATGGTGCACGTAAAGCATCTAGTGCAGGCATAGGCAAACTTTGGCCCTCCAACTCCCACAATTCTTAACAGCTAGTAGGAGTTGAAGTCCAAAACACCCGGAGAGCTGAAGTTTGCCCATCTCTGATCTAGTGAGCGCTTCTCCCCAGATCCCCTGTTCTAGTTATTGAGAGTGCACACAGAGGGCATGTTTGTCCCACAATCTTTTGTCATAGCTCCGAATCAAGCAGGTACCCCCTGAACGGTTATCCAGCACCGGCTTCACACCCACCCTTCGTGGCAGGCGTTCAAAACTCATACATGAAGTGGTCCCACGCCCTTTGGCCAACTGCTTCCAACCACTTCCTCCTCGCAGGTGCTCCAATCTCAGGAGGGTGTGGTATTTTGTGGTTCTCTCAACTTGCTCTTGGGTGTGTGTGTATCTATGAATAAACAGGAACTAAGAATAGACCCAACGATGACATGAAAAGCTTAGCAGAAACAAATTACCCTGGGCAGAAAATTGACTCAACACTAATGAAGGACATATATGTTGAGTCAACATGGGCATGGACTGAAGTGCTAGGATTTGGAAGAGCGATTGCCATAATCAACACTGGTTTTCTAGTTTGAAGAAATTATTGTCATGCCTGATAGGTACCCTTCCATCCTGAACAGGCTGAAATTCAACTGACATACTTTGACCTCTGGTGTAAAAATGGAATGACGGCACCTGCTTCACCTATTGTTTTTCTGCTTGTTGAGCCATTGTGGACACTTTGCAGAATGCATCAATGGGGATTGAAAGAAGACACTAAAATTGGGTCAGCTGAAGAAGTAGTGGGGTACACTGCTTCTTCGTCATTGTATAATTCTTGTGTGATTATGATTGGTTTAACTTTTTGATGTTAGGTTTTAATGTTGTTTTAATATGTGGGGTTTTTCTGGGATTATAATGTTGGTTCGCTTCATGGAGGCATTGAATGTTTGCCATTATATGTTGGAATCTGCCCTGATTACCCCTGGGGAAATGGGGCGGAAGACAAATAAAGTTTTGTTGTTGTTGTTGTTAATCCAACTGAATTATAGTCTTTCATTTTTCAAGTACTTTTTTTTTAAAAAAAAACACCTCAATCTCAATGTCGTCATGATGCATTTTCCCCACTGAAGGTGGAGACGACAAAGACACAATTTTCATCTCCCAAGCCATATTTTCTGATAATTCTAGAGGGAAATTACTATAGATATAAGATGTCTTTTGATCCATCATTTGGATTAATCGATTACAAATTTGAAATGGTTAGAAGCTTGCTTCCAAATCAATTCAGTAGATTTAAAAGAAAAATCCAGAGGTATTTACAGTTGTCTTAAAAACTTAGGAAAACCCACACCATTGTAAAGAAAAGGCAATTCGTTCTAGCTTGTTATGGAAGAGGGATTATTCTGGATTAGCTGTACCCGCCATGCGTTGCTGTGGCCAACCTTCCCTCTGTCTTTCCCTCCTCCTTTTCCTTTTTTAGTTTCCTTCTCTCCTTTTTTCTTTCACTTCCTCTTCCTCCCCCCTTATCTTTCCCTTCCTCTTTCTCCCCATTCTTCCTTCTCTATCTATTCTTGGACTGCAACTCCCAGCAGTCCTCTTGATTGATTGATTGATTGATTGATTGATCTATCTATCTACCTACCTACCTACCTACCTATCTCTATCTAATCTATCTTTCTATCTAGAGGATTGCTGGGAGTTCCAGTTCAGGAATGGGAAATTGGAAATATGCTCTCAAAGAAATCCAAGGAGAAGAAAGCTTGCATCTTGGAAGCAGTGCATTTGGATCATCCTCCTCTCCTAAAGGGCTTGGTCTAGGGGATGCTGGGAGCTGTAGTCCRGAAGAGAGTGTGGATATGCTATTGTGTGTTTTGTTTGCTGGGGGAGTCGTTTTTGCATAGCGCTGTAGCGTCTTTTTGCTTTTTTGGGTTTTTTAAATCCCTTCCTCTGTATTTTTCAGTGTTTTTATGAGTGATGGTCACTCATTGACCTGATAGGTGTATAGTATCCAAATTTGGTGTCAATGCATCCAGTGGTTTTTGAGTTATGTTAATCCCACAAACTAATTATATAGATTGCTTTGAGTTTTCCAGGCTATATGGCCGTTTTCTAGAAGCATTCTCTCCAGAGAGAATGCTTCTGGAACATGGACATACTGCCCGGAAAACTCACAGCAACCCAGTAATTCCAGCCATGAAAGCCTTCGACAACACAGGAATTATTCTTCTAACATGGACATTTTTTCCTATGTAAGCATGCTTTTTAAACAAAATATTACAGTTGGGTGTTGAATGTATTGTCAAAGGCTTTCACAACCTCTGAGGATGCCTGCCATGGATGCAGGCAAAACATCAGGAGAGAATGCTTCTGGAACATGGCCATCCAGCTCTGAAAACCCGCAACAACCCAATTGGGTGTTTTTTATTTTAAAAAGCATTCTTCTTGTGTAAAGAAATATAATAATGTCATCTGCTACACATCTAAAATTCATATGATTCATTGATTTGAGTTTTCCTTCACAGGAACCTGTTGTTTGATATCACTAATAGCATATTTCTGTACTCACTACACTAGGATGCAGACTCTGTGATCTTCCACGGTTGGATTCCGATTCTCATCAGCCTGGGCCATTTCATGCCCAAATATGATGGTAACTGTAGTTCAGCATCATGTGGAGAGCAACTCTACATATTTGCTTTGCATTCAGTTTCATTGTCTTCACTTGCTTTGTCTTAATTTAATCTAGTTATTATAACTTTAAAAAAATCAAATGCAAATTCTACAATTGCACAGCCACTGAGAGATGCACAGAATACAGTAGACACGAACTGAGCAAAAATCTTTATGTGGCTTGGAGCCATGAGACCCACAGCTCTTGCTAATTTTCAGCACCTCAAACCACAAGCTCTGCTACTTTTCCTTCTCACACGTTCAAGGAAAAGCCACTGAAAAAAGTAAAGGAAGTGGGGTCAAGGAGGGGGGTGCTTGCTGAGCAGAGAACATGGTTCCCAATAAGGCCTCCTTGAAATGTCTGTGTGTTTTCCACTCTCATGCACAATAAGGCATTGGGAAGAGAACAAGAGCCAGTGTGAACAGTAATAACTGCACATAATGGAGAGCATTATTAAAGCCCATGCACAACATCTGTCATCAAGCTCTGTACAAACTCAGGATCCATGGTTTATGAATATAGCATTGTGTCTGTGATGGTCTACTTTTCATTTTTCATGGATGTACTGTACAATATAGAACAGGCATGGGCAAACTTGGGGCCTCTAGGGGTTTTGGACTTCAACTCCCATAATTCCTAACAGCCTCAGCCCCTTTCTTATTATTCTTACATTTATTATTTTACTCTACTACTATTATTATTATTATTAGTAGTATTATCATCATCATCATCATCATCATCATCATTTTACTCAATTATATTACATTTACATTATTTTACTGTATTATTATTTTATTACATTTATTATTTTACTCTATTATTACTGTTATTACATTTATCATTTTACTCTATTATTATTGGAAGGATAAGTAAGCACATTTACATTGAAGAAGGTTAGAATAATGGTGTAATCAATAGTTGGACAGTCTTAGCTTAAATTACAGTTTTATGTAAATATTCAACAACATTTAATCTTTTGATGCCTCAATTAATGTAATTTTATTGCTATCTATTTTGAAATGTACCAGTAGCTGCATTTCCCGCCCTCGAATTATACTCAAATCAATACATTTTCCCAGTTTTTTGTTTGTTTGTTTTTGTTCGTTTTGGGGTTTTTTTGTGGTAAAATTAGGTGCCTCGGCTTATATTCGGGTTGGTTTATGCTCGAGTATATACAGTATGTTGAATTGGTTGAAACTCTCTTGAAAAACTATAGCAAAATGTGCTGTAAGAAATCCTGGGAAAATGAAGTTTTTGCAGTTTAATAAACATTTTCCATGTTTATGTATGATAGAACCAATTAGGAAATAACATTTTAAACCCAAGAACAAAATTCATGTTACCTAGTGTTATCTATATGGCTATATACCTGAGGTACATTGCACACACAAAGTGTTAACACTCACACAATGTTATTTACACAGGCCCTTTATTAACACAGGTGAAAACAGGTTGAATCTACAAGTGTGTAAGAGTGTGTGTGTAAGTGTGTGTGTGCGTGAGCATTTTGTGTAGGTCAGAGGTCCCAAGTCCTCTGGGATCCATGTGGAAACCCAGCTAAGTGAATTCCATGCAGGAAAGAAAAGAGGTTGGAGTGAGGCAGAGTGAACAGAGATACATGGAGGGGCTTAAAGGACAATCTTTAAAAGGGGCAAAACCACTGAACATCACACACCCAGGAAGAAGTAACACTAGCAACCCTCCCAAAACCGCAAGAGGGGCCTGGAGGCCTTGAACATCTATCCCACGATATTCTAGGAGGGCAAAAGAGGAGAGGGTCAATGCTTTCTTCGCCACAATTATATTCACTGCTTTCCAAATGGTTGCGGTGGTATTGGTTTACCCCCAACAATCCTTTGCAAACAATAGCTTGAAAGGGGAATGTGTGCTTCATTTTCCTCAGGCAGTCCTGTGTAGAATTCCTCTGGATTTTAATTTGGTGGCCACTATGTCTCTTGGGGTTTATCATCCGTTTCGTTTGTTGTATCCGCTTCCCGAAGAGGCGTTGATTCCCACAATCCATTACAGTTGATCCCCAGGACGTCGGTTTTCTTTTTGCGTCTTGCCATTGTACTTCTGGAAGGCCTTTTTTCCTGGTTCTCTCTGCCCTTTTTTAGGAGCCAGGGGAGGAAAAGAAGAAAGCCACAGGACGAACTATATAATGAGGGAGGGGAACGGACAACCGAGGAGCTGTCCCCTGCTCTCCCGTGACACAGAAGTGCACACACCGAGAGGAGGGTGAAGGCTCGGCACCAACACAGACATGGTTGCCTAACATAGATAGATACACAAAGTTGAGGCAGGAAGGCAAGCTCTTCCTTCTCTTCCATTCCCTTTCCATGTTGTGACCCATCATTTCTCCTCTTCATTACTCTCCTATTTTCCTTTCCGCCTTCCATTTCCCTCTTCCACTTCCCTCCTCACTGTAATCTTGGCCAATACTGGGAAAGATCAGGGTCCCCTCCAGGGACTTGTACAGGAACGGACACCCCTGGAGAGATTAAGCCTACAAAGGTCGTAAGGAGGAGAAAAAGCGAGATTATCAGTCAGTAGAAGAAATTACAAAAAATCTCATATGCCACTAAACTCAGAACAGTAAAATAAATATATATCTATACATTCAATAAACAGATTGCTGAAAAAAATAACATGACAAATAAAAGGCTGTTATAGGAGTTGTATTCCAAAAGAGCAAAATTTCAAAGCTCTGGATTATCAAGACTCTTTGGACAAGAGATGCTTACCTCTGTTAACTTAAAATCATAGAGTTGGAAGAGACCTCGTGGCCCATCCAATCCAACCCTCTGCCAAGAAGCAAGAAAATTGCACTCCCAACAGAAGGCCATCCAGCCTCTGCTTTAAAAGCCTCCAAAGAAGGAGCCTCCACCACACTCTGGGGCAGAGAGTTCCACAGCTGAACAGCTCTAAGAGTCAAGAAGTTCTTCCTGTAGCACAACTGGTTAATCACTAGTAGCAATGGATCACTGCCGACTGGAAGGTGGCAAGCTCGAAGCCCGAGTTGGATTGAGCACCCGACCATTAACCTAAGCTCATTGTCCACCTAAGCAGTTTGAAAACAGCTGAGCTGTGAGTAGAGAAATTAGGCACCACTTTAGAGGGGAGGTATTTTACGACACTATAAAAAATGCTGGTGATCAAAGGAGGAGGGGAATTCGACGATCAAAAAGGGCTCATCGTCACCGTGGATGGAGCGGCTGCACTTCTCTATGGCTGGAATTGAGCACAACCACCAGGCACCAAAGTTGGAAAATGCCAAAATACCTCTATCTGTCTGTCTGTCTGTCTTGTATGTCTAACAACAGCATTGAATGTTTGCCGTGTATGTGTGCATTGTAATCCACTCTGAGTCCCCTTCGGGGTGAGAAGGGCAGAATATAAATACTGTAAATAAATAAATGCTCAGGTGGAATCTCCTATCCTGTAGTTTGAAGCCATTGTCCCGTGTCCTAGTCTCCAGGGCAGCAGAAAACAAGCCTGCTCCCTCCTCCCTATGGCTTCCCCTCACATATTTATACATGGTCCTCATCATTTCTCCTCTCAGCCTTCTCTTCTGCAGGCTAAACATGCCCAGCTCTTTAAGCTGCTCCTCATAGGACTTGTTCATTTGAATTGCTCTCTTCTGCACACATTCCAGCTTGTCAACATCTCTTTTCAACTGTGGTGCCCAGAATCGGTCACAGTATAGAGAATAATAACTGGGTCCCTGCTAAGGATTAAAGGCAAAGCCTTAGGGAGGTTCTTGAAGCCCTGAGAGAACAGTTTTCATCACATTGTATTCCACCAACGGCCTTCTTAACAACAGTTTAAGAGGAAGGGCAGGTCCATATCCTATTTACAATCTGAAGCAGGAAGGAGTTGAAATGCCCCCTCACAACTGAATATACTTCAGTAGAACAGCCGTTCTCTTGTTTTGAGAATCCAGAGTCGATACAAAGGTATGACTAAGATGAGGATTGACTGAACAAAACAGGGCGTTCTATGGCATACTGGTCCATATCTGACACCCAAAATATTTTTTCTTCACACACAGCCAAGAACACAAGAAGAACCATACCAGAGCAGATCAAAGGCCTCTGTGAACCATCATTCCGTTCCTCCAGTGACAAATGAGAAGCTTCGGTGAGAAGCCCATAAGCAGGCAATAGTAACAACATGCCTCTTTCCTTCGCACATGCCACAACAGTATCTATTGCAGGCATGGGCAAACTTCAGCCCTCCAGGTGTTTTGGACTTCAACTCCCACAATTCCTAACAGCCTACTGGCTGTTAGGAATTGTGGGAGTTGAAGTCCAAAACACCTGGAGGGCCAAAGTTTGCCCATACTGTCCCCATCCCACTCGATCCTTACATTTTGAAAATACTATGCTTTGACTCATCACGCTACAGAAGTCTTACTCCTCCCAATCTGTTCAAATTTATCCCTATGTCACTTTTAAAAACAAATCTAATATTACACAATGATACAGTCTGGAAGTCTCTAACTATCCTCATGAGATTTTAGTTGACAGAATGCACACTGATTTTACCACCACACGTAAAATCAATGTCTCCGAACCATATTAAATCAAAAAATACTATTAGAATCCCATATGCAATCACTCTGTTTCTGCAATGTTTTGCAGATGGATTCCAACAGATTATTAACAGAATAGGACAAACGCCATGTAATTGGACCCGTTTGGAATCATGTTCAAAGAGTGTTAGAAATCATGTTCAAAGAGTGTTAGACTATCCCAATGTGATAAGCTCCTGAAAGCCATATAGTAGCCACTGATAGCTTTCTCCTCTAGGAATTTATCTAATTCTCCTTTGAAGGCATCTGAGTTGGTGGCCATCTCTACATCTTGTGGTAGCAAATTCCACATCTTAGCTATATACTGTATGAAGAAGTGTTCTTTTTTGCTTGTCCTGATTCAGCTACAATATTCTAGACAATATTCTAGACAGACAGCATAGCCTCTGGCAAGTGATGATGGCAACTCTTCCAACTGATCTTCCAACTGAGACTGCATCTCCTTCTATGAACCAGCCCAGGCACTAAGATCTAGCAGGGAGGCTCTCCTCTCGGTTCTACCTCCCATCTCAAGTGCAGTTGGTGGGGACGAGAGAGGGTCTTCTCGGTGGTGGCTTCTCGCTTTGAAATGCCCTCTTGAGGGAGATTAAGCTAGCCCCAACTGTCCGAGCCTTCCGTATACAATTGAAGACATGGCTTCTTAGATAAGCTTTTGACCATGTCTAGAAATTCAAGGACCTAGAGATTTTTTACCATGCATTTTATGAGTAACTAGCTGTCCCCTGACACGCGTTGCTGTGGCCAGTCTGTGTATGTGAGTGTGTAAATATTTGTGTATACGTGTATAATATATGTGTGTTTGTGTATATATGTGGTTTTGTGCATGCGTTTACATGCATTTTGGGGGGGGGGTTGTTTTTTAAGTCTCTTTTGCTGTGTTTTTCAGTGTTTTTATGGGTGATGGTCACTCATTAGCCTGATAGGTGTATTGAGTCCCAATTTGGTATCAACTGGTCCAGTGGTTTTCGAGTTCTGTTAATCCCACAAACTAACATTACATTTTTATTTATATTGATTGCAGTTTATTTTGTATTCTGCAGCTGTTGTTGCATTTTATTGATCTTAATTGGGGGGGGCGGGTGTGATGTTTATGTTGGTTGTTGTTGCTTTGCGTTGCACTTTTTATATAATGCGTGTTTGCACCTTTGAATACTTTGTGAGCTGCCCTGAGTACCTCCGGGAGATGGTGGCAGGATATAAATAAAATTTTATTTTATTTATTATTATATTATATTATAACTCTGTCTAAGAGGACACACTTTCCCCATCCTGCATGCTTTGATGTGTCAGAAGTTTCCAAGCTGACATTTCATTGCATCTAGGAGAGTTCCAGAGCAGACTTGTGTCATACTGCTCACATAAGTTTTGGAATGCATCATTTTGGGGGGAAATTCTGGAAAAATAAAGGGTTCTGGGTAGGCATGCTCCTCCTCTCTCAAATTCTCTCAAAGGGGAATTTCACCTACAGTTAAACTGCTACATTCACAAAGATTGAATAGGTCAGTACTTTCCAACACTGCTGGGATCCCCACATATAAAAGGTATGGCGCAATCAAGACTTATATCAGGTCTATACAATTTGTTTCCCACTGGTTGCCTTGCCATTCCAATATGCCATAGCCAATATGCCCTGCTTGGGAGATGAAGGAGCTTTCAGTCTAAAACATTAGGCAAAAAAAGGATTCCCCATTGCACCCCAAACTACATGATTTGGGAACAATACTGCAGCCTATATCTGAAACTGGAGCAAACCATCGAAATCTGACAATTTGCCAAAACATAATTTCTCTCATTTCCCTGATGGTTTTTTGGAAGTTATCTTGCAGAATCTGAAATTGCAGGTACAGTGTTTTACTTTATTTTTTTTCCTTTTGGGGTTGAGAATTGGCTTGTGGTCTCTGTAAAGGATGACTCTGAGTCACGGTGCGGTAGCTGAAAATGATGTTAAATGAATATGCATCGCCCTTGACTAATGAAAAACAAACTCAGATGCCTGGTGTGTTTTAGCAGAAGCTGACAATATGTTTATCCATTACTTCATGACCACAAAGGATAGAAACTTGCTTTTCAAAATAATGTATTAATGCTGAGCTTTCCAGAATTCTGTCATTTTCCCCATTTCATAGTGAAATCATTACCTAAGCAGATCCTAAAAACTTATTTGCCTCTTGCTCACAGTATTTACTTCTTTGTTTTATGACTCCAATAATCCTCCAACCAGCATAAGGGACTGTGGAATTAATAACCCAAAAAATAGGTTTCTCAAGGCTCTACTCTACCTATAGCAGTTTCTCAAATGATGTCCCTCCCAGATGTTTTGCACTTCAGACCCCACAATTCCTAATAGCTGGAAAGCTGGCTAGGATTTCTGGGAGCTGAAGTCCAAAACTTCTAGAGGAGCACAGTTTGAGAAATACTGGTCTATAGTGTCTTTTTGACATATTGGAAATCTTGCTAACCAAAGAGCAACATCAGATTGCTCTGAGTACTTATTTTCCCACTCTTTTTGCAAGTACTAGTTGTTGTGTACTCTAAGTTATCCTCCCCCGCTACCAATTCAAGGTGGCCTCTCCTACCCGCTTCCCACCTGCAATGCCTCCTCCCCTTCCATTACCAGTAGAGGCTCCATTGCTTGGGCTCAGGTTATGTGAGGAGAGCTGGGATGGCGTGTATGAATCGTAGCTTCGCACCGATGAACTGCCAGGAAGCATACAGGAATAAGATGACGTCTGGCTGGCAACCGGGGGCACGGCCTGCTGCTGGCATTAGAGGAAAGAATAAAAGAGGTTGGAGGATCATCATTCATTGGCCCCAGCTCCCACATGCCTCTGTTTGAGCTTTTGCTCCAAGCTTCCACACACTTCAGTTTGCACTCACCTGGATGGGGAGGCTGTTGGCCATGGAGAAGGTAGGTAAGGGTGGAAGGGCACCATAGTTGTTGCTGAGAGCACTTTCTGTGCGGCCCAACATAGTGCCTAAAACAAGGAGAAGAGACACTTGACCAATGGTGCAGTACCAAAATTTGAAGTCTTTATCACAATCCCCATAGCTATATCTTCAAGGATGATTCTCAAACAATTCAAGTAGTTTTGTGGATCCATATCTATACACAAATGCTAGTAACTGGCACACTACTTTACTGGTCATATTTTTCCCAGGGTCATAGTGTCCAAGAAAGATGGACAAAACCTGTTGGCTCCATTCTACTTCTCTGATGCCTTCTATGCCTTTCTCTCTCCTGCTCCTAACATTTACATTGACCAACCAGATTCCAACCACTTGCTCAATCAGAACCAAAAAACTCTTAATCTCCCATTTAAGATCAATTCACCTCAGAATACTTTCTGTTGAAAGAGATTTACAAAAATATTTTGTAACTGGGAAATTTATGTTCCCTCCAGGAACTGCCAAAATTGCAGGTAAACTCAAAGGAAATAGGGAGGGCTGTTGTGTACTCCTCTTCTGAGGAGGAGAAGGAGGTAGAACAAGGTGTAGGAGTTGAGGATTTGGGGCTAAGTGTTGAAGAGGAAGAAGAGGGCGAGGAAAACTGCAAGTTCCTAAGTTTCAGGAATGCTGAAAGGCGAAAGAAAGGAGAAGGTCAGCTTGAATTGCTGCAAGGATGCTGAACAATCAGACATCACCCTAGGAATACCTGTGCTGGGAGCTGGGGCTATAAATCAGTAGTAAAGCAAGTGGTCAATGTATTGTCAAAGGCTTCCATGGCTGGAATCACTGGGTTGTTGTAGGCTTTTCAGGCTATATGGCCATGTTCTAGAAGCATTCTCTCCTGATGTTCCACCTACATCTATGGCAAGCATCCTCAGAGGTTGTGAGGTTAATGCTGGCAGCAACCATTCTACTTAGTGCTTCTGTGTTCTGGTTTCCTTGCTTGCAGCTACAGTATCTGCGAAGTGCCTTGCAAAGACTTTTTGCCAAAACTCTTGTTTCATGTCTGATGTAAGACTTTTTCCTTTGCTTCTGGGATTTACCTTTTGTTCCTTTGCTGCTGTTTGGTACATTAATATCATTTTGCTGAAGTAAAGCTTTTTTAGTTGCTTTAATCCTTGTTGTAAGGCTTATTCTGGGACAAAACAGAACAAAGCCCAGGTAGGGGGTTGATATCATCATCCCAGCTAATTGAAAGTACTATTGCTTCAACTTCAAGTCCATGGGCCCTAGGATGGTAGAATGGATGTAGCTGTGCCATCAACAAGGAAACCTTTACAGCACACTATTTTTAAACAGGAACTGTCGGATAAATACCAGAAGGGAGCTAATGATCTAGATGGGACACATACAGGCTTGGAAAAGTTATTTTGGGCGGGAAGATAGAGAACTCTGGAAGCTGTGAAACAAAAATAGAATTTTTCCAAGTTGTGGAAACTTGATCCTGTAAGCCCTTACCTGACCCTGTAGGCTGAGGGAGAGACTGGTAAACAGTGCTCCCTCCAGTGCCAAAGCTGCTGTTTATGGTCAGGTGTCCCCCTGTTCCTCCGGCTTGGCGTCTCTGATTCCGCAGTTTCTCCTCCCGGCGCCACTTGGCTCGGCGATTGGAGAACCAGACCTGTAGGAAAAGTAAAATAGCATCATTTGCAATAAAACAATGACGTAGAAATGCTAGATATTTTGTTCTTATTTCAATCATTTTATTTATTTATTTATTTATTTATTTACTTCATTTGTTGACCGCCGTTCTCAGCCCTAGGGCGACTCACGGCGGTGTACAACATGTAAAAACAGTTTACAATAAGGCAAAACACAGAGAAATAACAGTATAACTATCAATGTATAACAATAATATAACTACACTAAATCATCCGCGCCGTCTCATCATAGAATCGTAAACCAATCTCGTAATCCGTATTCCGTTCCAGTCGTCATTGCCAATTGTCGTAGCACTTAGTTAAACGCCTTCTCAAATAACCATGTCTTTAGGCTCTTGCGGAATGACATAAGGGAGGGCGCCTGTCTGATGTCTACAGGGAGGGTGTTCCACAGCCGGGGGGCCACCACCGAGAAGGCCCTATCTCTCGTCCCCGCCAGGCGTGCCTGTGAGGCAGGCGGGATCGAGAGAAGGGCCTCCCCAGACGATCTCAAGGTCCTCGTGGGCTCATAGGCCAAGATGCGGTCTGAAAGGTATTTTGGGCCGGAGCCGTTTAGGGCTTTGTAGGCCAACACCAGCACCTTAAATTGGGCCCGGTAGCAAATCGGCAGCCAGTGGAGCTGGGACAACAAGGGCGTTGTGTGCTCCCTGTCCCGCTCCAGTTAGTAACATGGCTGCCGCGCGCTGGACTAGCTGAAGCTTCCGGGCCGTCTTCAAGGGCAGCCCCACGTAGAGAGTGTTGCAGTAGTCAAGGCGGGATGTGACCAGAGCGTGTACCACCGTGGCCAAGTCAGACTTCCCAAGGTACGGGCGCAGCTGGCGCACGAGCCTGAGCTGTGCAAATGCTCCCCTGGTCACCGCTGAGACCTGGGGATCCAGGCTCAACGATGAATCCAGGATCACACCCAAGCTGCGAACCTGCGCCTTCAAGGGGAGTGTGACCCCATCCAGCACAGGCTGTAACCCTATACCCTGTTCGGCCTTGCGACTGACCAGGAGTACCTCTGTCTTGTCTGGATTTAATTTCAATTTGTTCGCCCTCATCCAGACTTCACAGCAGCCAAGCACCAGTTCAGGATCTGAACAGCCTCCTTAGTAGCAGGTGGGAAGGAGTGACAGAGTTGGACATCATCTGCGTACAGATGACACAGGTGACACCACACCCCGAAACTCCGGATGATCTCACCCAGCGGCTTCATGTAGATGTTAAACAGCATGGGGGACAGTATAGAGCCCTGTGGAACCCCACAGGTCAAAGGCTGTGGTGTTGAACAGGTGTCCCCCAATGACACCTTCTGGGTGCGGCCTTCCAGAAATGACTGGAGCCACTGCAGCACAGTGCCCCCGAGACCCATTCCGCAAGGCGCCCCAGAAGGATACCGTGGTCGACGGTATCGAAGGCCGCTGAGAGGTCCAGGAGCACCAACAGGGACACACTCCCCCTGTCTAGCTCCCGGCGCAGATCATCCACTAAGGCGACCAAGGCTGTCTCGGTACCATGTCCCGGCCTAAAGCCAGACTGTGCCGGATCTAGATAATCCGTGTCTACCAAGAATACCTGGAGTTGTGAGGCCACCACACGTTCCAAGACTTTGCCCAAGAAGGGGAGATTGGAAACTGGCCGATAGTTGTCGAATTTAGTGGGGTCCAGTGATGGTTTCTTCAACAGCGGTTTTATTATAGCTTGTTTTAAGCTCGCTGGAATCTTGCCTTCCCGAAGGGAGGCATTAACCACCACCGTTACCCACTCAGCCAATCCCCCTCTGGCCTCCTTCAGAAGCCAGGATGGGCAGGGGTCTAGGATGGACGTGGTGGGCCTCATTCCTCCAAGTATCTTGTCCACATCCTCGGGCTTCACAAACTGAAAAGAATCCATCAAAATGGGACAAGCCGGTGCTCGTGTCACATCCTCAGAGACTGCATTTTAAACAGCCATCTCCCATCTTACCTGGATCCGGGCCTCTGGAAGATCAATTTTTGCTGCCAAGCGTTCCCGGGCAAAGACGTCAGGATAATGAGTGCGCTCAAACTCTGAGGAACATTGAAGGGTGAAAGTCAGGGAGATTAATTCACCTCTCCATCATTCACAGCTATGGCTGAATTAGCACATTACCACCTCCTGGCAGCGACCTTAGGGACACCTTCCTTTCTATGTTGCTTTGTTAAATGTTAATTTCCCCAATCGAGGCCAATAAAGAACATCTAAATCAAATTGCAAAATTGGGTCAGCTGGTGCCCTTTGGGACTGGGAGGGCTGGGTGGCCAATGAAAGGTGAATCCAAAATTCAAGAACAGGTACAACCAACTAATTCTGGTTTTGTCTCCTTGTAATGACACTGCAGTACAACTCCTTAACATCCCAATGAACTGGAAAACAGCCTCTTAGGCTGTAAATCTTTGTAAAAAGAGATGTGCTTACTGATTCCTAGAAAGACAGAAACAGAAAGAAGAGAACTTCCAATGATACCTCACTGCCTGGTATAAGTAAGGAAGAAGGTGGAAGTGGGCTGGAGAGTCAGCATAATGTAATGTTTGAACTTTGATTATGACTAGAGACCAGGTTGTGGTTCCCCACTTACTGCTAGTCTGGCATATGGGGGGCATGTTCCTGGAAACACTACAATGTTCTGCTGGAAGCAGATGCTCTGTTCCCAGGTATAGGCCATGGCATACACAGCAGAGTCTCGCTTATCTAACCTTTCCTTATCCAACATTCTGTATTATCCAACACAGTCTGCCTCCCACCCGGATCCACAGCTGTTTCAATACATTGCGATGTTTTGGTGCTAAATTCACAAATACAGTAATTACTACATAACGTTACCGTGCATTGAACAGTTTTTTTCTGCCTATTTGTTGTAAAACATGATGTTTTGGTGCTTAATTTGTAAAATCATAGCGTAATTTAATGTTTAATAGTTTTTTTCTTTATTCCTCTTTATTATTCAACATTTTCACTTATCCAACGTTCTGCCGGTCCGTTTATGTTGGATAAGTGAGACTCTACTGTAAAGTGATACGATATAGAGCAGGCATGGGCAAACTTCAGCCCTCCAGGTGTTTTGGACTTCAACTCCAACAAATTGAATCCAGACAAGACAGAGGTCAGTCGAAGGGCCGAACAGGGCATAGGGTTACAAACTGTGTTGGACGGGGTTACACTCCCCCTGAAGATGCAGGTTCGCAGCTTGGGAGTGATCCTGGATTCATTGCTGAGCCTGGAACCCCAGGTCTCAGCAGTGGCCGGGAGAGCATTTGCACAATTAAAACTTGCGTGCCAGCTGCGCCCGTACCTTGGGAAGTCTGATCTGGCCATGGTGGTCCATGCTCTGGTTACATCCCGAATAGATTACTGCAATGCACTCTACGAGGGGTTGCCTTGTTCGGAAACTTTAACTAGTCCAATGGGCGGCAGCCAGATTGCTCACTGGAGCACCATACAGGGAGCACACCACCCCTCTGTTATGTCAACTCCACTGGCTGCCAGTCCATTTCCGAGCACAATTCAAAGTGCTGGTCTTGACCTATAAAGCCCTATATAATTCCAGCCCAGCTTACTTGTCCGAACGTATCTCCCTCTACGTTCTGCCTCATAGTTTAAGATCCACCGGGGAGGCCCTGCTCTTGGTCTCACCAGCCTCACAAATGCATCTGGTGGGGATGAGGGACAGGGCCTTATCGGTGGTAGCCCCCCTGCTTGTGGAATTCATTCCCCAGCAAGATTAGATCAGCGTCCTCCCTCCTTTCCTTTAAGAAAAAATCGTGATTTTGGAACCAGGCTTTTGGCTAGCAGACACAACGGTACTTTGGACATTGAATTGGACCATATGATGACTGTTATGATAATAGAAATGGCTATGATTGTATAATTAATGTTATTGTTTTAATCTATTGTGTTTTTATGGTTTTATATTGTTGTTATTTTGTGATATTGCGGCATCGAATTGTTGCCAGTGTTAGCCGCTCTGAGTCCCCCCTCGGGGGTTGAGAAGCGCGGGTAGAAATGTTGTAAATAAATAAATAAACTCCCATAATTGCTAACAACTGAATTTTGGGAGTTGAAGTCCAAAATACCTGAAAGGCCGAAGTTTGTCCATGCCTGACAAAAAGATCCATAACAGCATAGTCCTTGTCCCCAGCTCAAATAAAGTCTGGGGTTTATAAATACCACCTGGTACCTTACATCTTGTCCCTCTTTCTCACTGCCCGCATTTTAGACTATCAAGTCTTGGAGGGATGTCTTGGATGACAGAGCAATGTAAGCAGATGTGCATCTAAGATGCAATATGAATTATATCCACCAGGTGGACCCTCCCATTCCCCTTTCCATATTGTCTCTACTCTACCTACCAGTTTTCGATTTCAAGAACCCCAATAATCTAAGTGATCCCAAGCATATGTGGAAATTCTGGGCCTTGTAAAAGGAATCAGTTTCAGGAGTGAGGAACAGACATAAAGACAAGCTCCAATTTATCTCTTCCAAAAATATCCCCTTATGTAAAACATAATAATGTGCTATTGTTTCATGAGATCCCAAGTCTGTTGCCTGAGGTAGTCAACTCACTCTGCCGAATGGCAAGACTAAAGCCATGGACAGAATTGCATAGATACAACTAGTCATAATGATGCCAGCTACCTCTTTGCATCTTTTTCAAAAAGCAATTGGGGAAACTGGTATAATGTGTGTGTTTGCACTGTTTGAATTAGAGTACAGTTCTTCCAGTAGCATCTTAGTTTGTGTGATAACAGTGCACATATACGTCCTGCAAAACATACCTATACATGCATTCCTAGAAATCAGCTAGTCTAGAAAGACAGCCTTGCAGCTAGTTAGCAACTCCATTTGAACACCCCAGCATAAGCAGCCTTTGCCACTGTCATTCCTTTCTTACCTTTCTCCAGGGCTTCTATCTGCTCCTGGGTAAAAGATGTCCGGTTCCTTTGCAATTTGCGCTTCAGCTGCAAACGGATTTGAGATTCATCTAGATCTTGGTTGCTTGCACCTTGGGGATGCTCAGGATCCAGGCCACTTTCAAGTTGCTGGCAACTATCTGCAGGTTGCCCCAGGGAACAATATCGGGAAATACAATCAGAGAGTCAGAAGAGACCACAAAGACTATCCAGTCCATCTTCTGACATGCAATAATAAAAGATACACACATTATAAGTTTTATAAGACTTCATTATTGGGAGGCAGTATAGCATAGCAGTTAGAGAGGTAAAGGGGGATGGTCTTATGGACTGGCAAGGTAGGCGGTTGCCCTGGGTGCTGAGCTGAAGGAGACACCAAGCTTATCTCATTAATTCTCTGTTCATTGTGGATCCTGAATCTTTGGTAAACTAACACAAAACAAAGCAGGCAGAACATATAATGTTTACGCCCAAAGTTCCACATGCTATCTACATTACTAGCTGTAAAAATCAACTCCAACAGTTAAATTAAAAATGGGTTTACTTTTACATTCAATGTTTACATCACTTGTTCACACAGCTGATAAAACACAGCTTTATGTTGCCAAACTTTGGAATTTTGCTTCAATATAAATTTAAAATGTTGTAGAATTTATCAGGAAATGGGATGCACCAAGCACAGTCCACAATCAGGGCATTGGTGTTGTACTAGAACAGTGTTTCTCAACCTGGGGGTCGGGACCCCTGGGGGGGCATGGGGGGGGTGTCAGAGGGATTGCCAAAGACCATCGGAAAACACAGTATTTTCTGTTGGTCATGGGGGTTCTGTGTGGGAAGTTTGGCCCAATTCCATCGTTGGAGAGTTTTAGGATGCATTTGTAGGTGAACTATAAATCCCAGCATCTACAATTCCCAAATGTCAAAGTCTATTTTCCCCAAACTCCTCCAGTGTTCACATTTGGGCATATTGAGTATTCGTGCCAAGTTTGGTCCAGATCCATCATTGTTTGAGTCCCCAGTGCTCTCTTGATGTAGGTGAGCTACAACTCCAAAACTCACCAAACTCTTCCAGGATTTTCTGTTGGTTGTGGGAGTTCAGTGTGCCAAGTTTGGTTCAATTCCATTGTGGGTGAAATTCAGAATACTCTTTGTTTGTAGGTGAACTATAAAGTCCAGCAACTACAACTCCCAAATGATAAAACCAATCCCCCACAACCCCACCAGTATTCAAATTTATGTATATTAGGTATTTGTGCCAAATTTGGTCCAGTGAATGAAAATACATCCTGCATATCAGATATTTACATTACAATTCATAACAGTAGCAAAATTACAGTTATGAAGTAGCAACGAAAATAATGTTATGGTTGAGGGTCACCACAACATGAACTATATTAAGGGGTTGTGGCATTAGGAAGGTTGAGAACCACTGGACTAGAACATGTCCCTTAGTATTAGATGGTGGTGGTTTGAGCATACATGCTTCAGGGTCTCCATATCTACACAGCCACCATTTACTAATATGGGATGCACCAATCTGTGATCACTGCAAATCATGGATCTAGATCTGACAGATCCAGAGGGTCACTGTATAAGTCTGGTAGCATATATTCCAGAGCCAGGGTGGTGTACCGATTTGAGTGTCGGATCAGGAAACTAGGAAGACAGCATTTGAATCCCTGTTCAGCCATGGAAACCTTGGGCAAATCATACACTAAGCCTCAGAGGAAGGCAAGGGAAAATCCCCTCTGAACATATTCTGCCAAGAAGCCCCTGTGATAAGGTTGCCTTAAGGTCGCCTTAAGTCAGAAATTACATGAATGCATGCAATAATATCAACAAGGATATACTGGCAAAGGACAAGGGTCAGCAGAGGACACTATTCCCACTCCAGTGGTGCTAATACTCATAAATCTGACCTCAAATCAATAATCCCATTGCTTGCTTCAGCTCTACTCCCTCTGTCCCTCATATCACTGATGTTCTCTTTCAGCTCCGTCCTCAAATCCCTGCCTCCCTTTCCCTCTCCTTTTCAGGCTTTCTGCTTCTTCCTGCCTGATTGCCTGGTCTTTGTTCATAGTGACAACTATTTATTAATAGTTTATACAAGGTAGATGAATGATTAATAAGCAAGTGTGATAAAATTCTTAATCCATCTCCTGCACACTCGAAGTGGAGGATTTCACTTCCAGTGCTACTTCTGTATGTAGTTTGGGAGGAAGAAGTGTCCTAAGATTCCCCTGATGATACTTGAGGCCTATGGAGGTCAAGAGCAAAAGAAGGGGAAAGAAAGCCAATGGGGAGATAGAACTCTTAATTTCTTATGTATCTACAGATGGGATTGAGGCTGGATCTACGTTGCCATATAATGCAGTTTGAATAATTACCAACAATGCTATGGATTTTGAACAGGAACGAATATAGAGCGAAAAGAAAGAGAAAGGCAACATATAGCATCCCCTTGTCATGATTGCCTTCCATCTGGAAATCAATGTCCTCAATGTGAAAGACCATGGACATCCAGAATAGGTCTTCACAGTCATTGCTGGATCTATCGCCAAGACTCTACCTTTGGAAGGCAATCATAGCCATGTGCGACTGCCCATGAAATCCAATGAACTGCATTATATGGGTCTATAGCAGCATTTCTCCACCTGGGGGTCAGGACTCATATGGGGGTCACGAGGTTGGTTTCAGAGGTGTTGCCAAAGACCATCAGAAAACATAGTGTTTTCTGTTGGTCATAGGAGATATCTGTAAGAAGTTTGGCCCAAATCTATCGTTGGTGTGATTCAGAATATTATTTGATTGTAGGTGAATTATAAATCCCAGCCACTACAACTCCCAAATATCAAGATCTATTTCCTCCAAACTCCACCAGTGTTCACATTTGGGCATATTAAGATTTCATGCCAAGTTTGGTCTAGATCCATCATTATTTGAGTCCACAGTGCTCTCTGGATGTAGCTGAACTACAATTCCAAAACTCAAGGTCAAAGCCCACCAAACCGTTCCAGTATTTTCTGTTGGTCGTGGGAGTTCTGTGTGCCAAGTTTGGTTCAATTCCATCGTTGGTGGAGTTCAGAATGCTCTTGGATTGTAGGTGAACTATAAATCACAGCAACCACAACTCCAAAATTACAAAATCAATCCCCCCGCCCAAACCACACCTGTATTCAATATTGGGCATATCGGGTATTTGTGGCAAATTTGGTCCAGTGAATGAAAATACACCCTGCATATTAGATATTTACATTACGATTCATAACAGTAGCAAAATTACAGTTATGAAGTAGCAACGAAAATAATGCTATTGTTGGGAGTCACCACAACTTAAGTAAATGTATTAAGAGGTTGCAGCATTAGGAAGGTTGAGAACCACTGGTTTATAATATCATAATATAATAATAATAAAACTTTATTTATACCCCGCTACCATCTCCCAAGGGACTCGGTGCAGCTTACATGAGGCCGAGCCCACAATATAAAAGCAATAACAACAAATAATACAAAACAATATAATAAAACTCATAACAAAAAAATAAGCAATAAACATTAACACAGCAACGTTTAAAAACCTATGGCTGGGCCAAATGTCATAATTAAAATTTAAAAATAATGCTGAGCATGAACGGATGATATATGAACTAGGATAAAGTTTTCAGAGAGAGATGGGGCATGCAGACACTCCTAGTTCCAAAGTAAAGTGCATTTCGAGGACATATTGCTGGGAGTTTCCTTATTCTGGGAAGGCACACTGGAACAACCATGTTTTCAGGCTCCTCCTAAAGACTGCCAGAGTTGGGGCATGCCTGATGTCCTTTGGGAGTGAGTTCCAGAGTCGAGGGGCCACCACTGAGAAAGCCCTCTCCCTCGTCTCCACCAATCGCACCTGCGATGGAAGTGGGAGCGTGAGCAGGGCCTCTCCAGATGATCGAAGGGGTCATGTGGGTTTGTACACAGAAATGCGGTCACACGGGTAGGAGATATGGGTAACCAGGTATGGGCAAACTTCGGCCTCCAGGTGTTTTGGACTTCGACTTCCACAATTCTTAACAGCTTCAGGCCCCTTCCTTAGTTCACCTACAATCAGAGAGCATTCTGAACACCACCAACTTTAGAATTGAACCAAACTTGGCACACAGAAGTCCCACGACCAACAGAAAGGAAAAGGGGAAAGGAAAGGGCCTGAAGCTGTTAGGAATTTGAGTTGGAAGTCCAAAACACAGGAGGGCCAAAGTTTGCCCATACCTGGTCTATACTGACAATATATAATGCAATTCAAACTGCAGTGTGGATCCAGCCCAAGACTAGAGCTTATCCTATTTCTTTTGCGGGGACAATACTTCCAACAATCCCCATCTAGCTCACATCATGTTATTTGGGAGATTCCGGGAGCTGTCACTTGAATGAAGGATTTGGCCAAGCTTTAACAAAAAGTTTGCCTCTCTGGAAATAAGAAGTTGCACCAATGCGGCAGAAGCATACGAAAGCAGATCCGGGCCTTGTGAGACAGGAGCTTTGTTCAGACAAGAGGCTAGAGAGATACCAGCCATAGGGGGTTTGGGGACTCTATGGGAAAGGTAAAAAATTGGTGGGTGGCAACTGGGGATTTGGGGGAACCCACAAGGGTTTAACCTTTTATCCCAAGGGAGCTCTGGTCTGAACAGTGACCTTTCTTTGCTTCTGCGGAGCCCAGCACTCGGATCTCTGCAGGCAACGCGAAGCCACGACATCAGCCGCAGTGCCCTAATGTGAGGCGACACTGCCAGCTCCCTCCCCCCCTCCTTCCCCGAATCCTTTGCAGCCCCTGAAGCAATGAGATCCAAAAAGGCCCCCTCGGTGAAGAGTGTCTCTGCTTGGCCCTGGCCCAGACGTAGTGTTGTCAGGATCACTCCTCCTCCTTCGCCCCCCTCCCCACAGAAGTCTGCCTGCCTACCCAACCACCACCCCCCTCTGTCCCCACATCCCCATCAGCTCTGTTTTTGCTGAGAGATCTTTGCAGAATGCAAAGGGAGGAAACACACTTGCATAAACCCAGAAGGGAAATGGGAGGGTTGGTATGAGGAAGGGGGGGGGGGGKTTGAGGAGAGAAGTGTGGGGAGCGGAGACCACACAGAGTATCTAAAAACAGCACAGATGGGGAGAGGGGGGGGGAGGGMCTGCCTGTTTGATGCTGCTACACAACATCAGCCAGGCCCATCTCAGTTGTTGGGCGTCACACAAAGGGACCCAGAGGATCAAGAGAGGAGGGAGAAGGCAGGGGATCTAAGGAAGCAGCAACAGGACAACTAGTTTGGGTAAACCTCAGAGGTTAAGATCGTGGGAGGGAGGCCCTGCTCTCAATCCCACCACCTTCGCAAGCACGGCTGATGGGGAATAGAGTCAAGGCCTTCTCAGTGGTGGCCCCTTGCCTATGGAACTCCCTCCCAGTGAAATTAGATCTGCCCCATACCTCCTGACATTCGGGGGGGGGGACGGACGGGGACAAAGCATGGCTCTGGGATCAGGCTTTTGGCCAGTAAGAGGAGTAGTGCAATATGAGACTACAAATTAATACAATGACTTGGACCGGCCCTGGAATACAATTTGGATCATGTGATTTTAATTGATGTTTTAATGCTATGTTTTTAATGGGTGTGATTTTAACGTTTTTGTTTATTTACCAATGTATAAATATATGGGATTTAACTATATATGCCCCGAGTCCCCTTCGGGGTAGAGAGGGGTGGGATATAAATGTGGTATATAAATAATAATAATAATAATAATAATAATAATAATAATAATATCAATAGGTACCGCTCCGGTGGGAAGTTAATGGCACTCCATGCAGTCATGCCGGCCACATGACCTTGGAGGTGTCTACGGACAACACCAGCTCTTCGGCTTAGGAATGGAGATGAGCACCAACCCCCAGAGTTGGACACTAGACCTAACGTCAGGGGAAAACTTTACCTTTTTTTACTGCTACTACTACTACTCAATAATAATAATAATAATAATAATAATAATAATAATAATAATAATAAACGGGAAAATGTCTCAGCTTCTACCTAGGCCTGGATGCAAAAATAGTTTGTGGGGATCAGGGGTCAACTTGCAATACACAGTCAGCTATTAAAATAATGTGAAATTATGGATTCTTTTAAAATAAACAGTTGTACTGCAACCTATCTGGAGCAATCTATTTAAATGGAAGGCATTTGACTTGGTACAAGAGGTATCCTTTCATATACAGCTCTCCACAGCCATGAGGATTAGACATCTAATTGTGGAATTGGATTCTTGGAATGAATTAATGAATGAGATGAGATGAAAAACAAGATTCTAAATATACTTAAGAGGCACAGAAGCTGGAGGGCCTCTATTTCTAACTTTCACAATAAATATTTAGGATATACAGCAGGCATGGGCAAATTTCAGCCCTCCAGGTGTTTTGGACTTTCACAATTCCTAATAGCCAGAATGGTGGGAGTTGAAGTCCAAAACACCTAGACGGACAGAGTTTGCCCATGGCTGATATATAGGCTAATGTGTTGTTGAAGGCTTTCATGGCCGAAATCACTGGGCTGCTCTGAGTTTTCCGGGCTGTATGGTCATGTCCCAGAAGCATTCTCTCCTGACATTTCATCCACATCTATGTCAGGCATTCCAGAGGTTGAGAGGTCTGTTGGAAACTAGGCAAGTGAGGTTTATATATCTACGGAATGTCCAGGGTGGGAGAAATAACTCTTATCTGTTTGAGACGTGTAAATGTTGCAATTGGTTACCCGGATTAGCACTAAATGCCTTTATCATTCCCTGGCTCATTAAACTACAACACATAGGATTCCATAGCCTTGAGCCAAGGCAGCCCAAGTGCATTCATTCTATAGGATAATATTTGCCTGTTCGCATCCTTTCTTACAATATTCAATGGCCCACTTCTATAGAGAGTTGTTGTTGTTCATTCGTTCAGTCGTCTCCGACTCTTCGTGACCTCATGGACCAGCCCACGCCAGAGCTCCCTGTCGGCCGTCACCACCCCCAGCTCCTTCAAGGTCAGTCCAGTCACTTCAAGGATGCCATCCATCCATCTTGCCCTTGGTCGGCCCCTCTTCCTTTTATCTTCCACTTTCCCCAGCATAATTGTCTTCTCTAGGCTTTGCTGTCTCCTCATGATGTGGCCAAAGTACTTCAACTTTGTCTCTAGTATCCTTCCCTCCAATGAGCAGTCGGGCTTTATTTCCTGGAGGATGGACTGGTTGGATCTTCTCGCAGTCCAAGGCACTCTCAGAACTTTCCTCCAACACCACAGTTCAAAAGCATCTATCTTCCTTCGCTCAGCCTTCCCTAAGGTCCAGCTCTCACATCCGTAGTTACTACAGGGAATACCATGGCTTTGACTATGCGGATCTTTGTTGCCAGTGTGATGTCTCTACTCTTTACTATTTTATCGAGATTGGACATTGCTCTCCGCCCAAGAAGTAAGCGTCTTCTGATTTCCTGGCCACAGTCTGCATCTGCAGTAATCTTTGCACTATAGAAAGTAGATACTGCAATTTTCTGATTGACTAGCCTCTGAAAAAGGACAATTTGTGATAAAGCCGAAACACGCTGGGCCTTTTAAAGAACGAATGGTTTTGACCACTGTGGAGACTAGTTTCTTTCATTCTTTCATTGTGACAACATGCTTTCCAGTTCTTCGTTTTGTTGCTTTCGAATGCAAGTCATTTAGAGTGCCAGATTAAACATCTACAACAATATTGGTAGATGTTTTGCATGCTCTACCTTACTATTACTCTTACATAACAGCCACGGGCAGGAGCAGGAGAGGAATCATACAAACTCTGGAAAGTAATATGATCTCCACTGTAAAGGACAGAGTTATTATTATATAAACATTTGAAAAACCCTTGGCAGAATTTGAAAATAATCTCTCTCTCTCTCTCTCTCTCTCTCTCTCTCTCTCTCTCTTTTTTTTTTTTTTTTGGACAACAGAATCCCCTGTCCCACAAGGACACTTATTCAAAGATTCCAGAAATTGTATTCCAGGCTCTGTGCCCTGTTGTAGGATAGGTAAACACTGAGGGAGCTCCAAAGATGGGAACATTCAAAAGCTATTCCATCTTCAGGGTCTGTCACAAGGCTGTCCAAACTGCCAGCTTAGTGGTACAGGAAGGAAACATCTTTGTCCCCATTGAAAGTTCACTCATTCACATGTCAAGTATAAAGTATACAAGATAATGGCACAGGATAAGCACTCCATTACACATCTGACATAATATATAAGCCAGGGTAGATAGCCTCCCTTCCAGGCTTTGGACAGCTCTTATAACCCAGTTGTAAGTCATCGTATTTGGGGGCTTGGGGAACATGGTCTAAATCACAACATCCAAAATGCCAAAGAGTCCCTACTCCCAATGTAAATGCACATATCTGAATGTATTTGATTTGATTGCTCTTTTTCAGGACAGACAAAAGGATGTCCTCTTCACACTGATTATGGTCAATCTGAGAGATGTATTTATTTATCGTGTCAGAAGCAAATTGAGAATAGTTATCTGAGGAATTCACATCTATATATTGTAATAACAGCTGCTGACTTTGACAACAATCAAAAGCAATTACACATGTTTATGGAAGATATAGATAACTGATAGTCACAATTGCTAATATTTAACAGAAGCACTGTGTCTCTGAAAATAATCACTGGGAAACACATGTGAGAGTACTTGAATCTAATGTTCTGTTTATACTTGGAAGACAGTACTGGACTAGAAAGATCTTTGCTCTCATTCAGACCCAGATAATAATAATAATAATAATAATAATAATAATAATAATAATAATAATATATTTATAGGCCGCCCTATCTGCTCAGGGGGACTCGGGGCAGCTTCCAGGCAAAAAGGGAAACAATAAATGCTTTGGTGATAAACAACACATAAATCAAACAGTGCAAGGTAAACATCATTATGGACTCATAAATTACTAAACAAGAATTTACTCATAAATTACTAAAATTGCTTTAGGCATTGGCAGTGGGCCTTGCCAAAGTATTGAAAGCCGAGCTGATGCCTATGGATGCTAAATGCAGAGATCAGTCTAGAACAGTGGTTCTCAACCAGTGGGTCCCCAGATGTTTTGGCCTTCAACTCCCAGAAATCCTAACAGCTGGTAAACTGGCTGGGATTTCTGGGAGTTGTGGGCCAAAACACCTGGGGACCCACAGGTTGAGAACCACTGGTCTAGAATGTAAGGCAGATAGCCATGATTTGTTGAAAATTATAATAGGTTGAATGTTACTACTATTGAGTTTCTGTAGATAATAAGGACTTGGGAAAAAATAAGTCAGGGGAAACAGTCTGGAATGGAGGAAATGTTAATGCATGCAAATACCCCATGTTCCCACCTCATAGTCACATCTTCTAAACTTCATTTCTTTCATAAGGCAAAACACAGAAACAGGGCTCTTGTACACACATTTTACCACAATATGCAGCTAGCCCACATGAAAACTGACCACAGTAAACCTTCTACATTTGTGACGTAATACTTATCCCTATTCAAATCAATAAAAGCCAACATGAGGGTGTGTGTGCTTGCAGACATGTATGCAATTCAATCTCCCATTCCATACCAGGGTTGGGTGGTCCTGTCACCAAACTGTCTTGATACCACTCCTGGCGACCACCCCATGTACTGTTCTGTATGTTCAGCATTCTGCTCTTCTCATACATGCCATCCACCCCCATGGAATGGAACTGGAGACCGGAGGGACAGGGAGAAGGGAAGTGGATGGAGGCCCCCCACCTGAAGGACTGCGAGCTGCAGGGCACACGCCCTGCACCAGATAGACCTGAAAGACACAGCAAGAGAGAAGCAGTTATTCAACAGATGATCAATACTCAGAAGAATTCTGCAATGAGCGGTCTAAAGAACTAAGAAAAGAAATCAGTATCATTATCATCTTCTTCTACTTCTTACTTATAATAATAATATTTATTTATACCCCACTTTATCTCTCTCACAAATTTACCCCATAAATACAACAAACTCTTTTTTCCATGGCATTAACACTTAAAATATTTAGCAAAACAAACAAAACGTCCACCTAACGTTGAAAATACCCCATGTTCCCACCTCATAGTCACATCTCCTAAACTTCATTTAAATGTATTGTTGAAGGCTTTCATGGCCAGAATCACTGGGTTGTTGTGTGTTTTCGGGCTGTATGGCCTTGTTCCAGAAGCATTATCTCCTGATGTTTTGCCTGCATCTATGGCAGGCATCCTCAAAGGTTGTGAGGTCTATTGGAAACTAGGAAAATGGGCTTTATACATATATCTGTGAAATGTCCAGGGTAGGAGAAAGAACTCTTGTCTGTTTGAGGTAGGTGTGAATGTTTCCATTGGCCACCTTGATTAGCATTTAATGGCCTAGCAGTTTCAGGTATTGCTTCTTACTTCCTGGAGGAATCCTTTGTTGAGAGGTGATTAGCTGTCCCCGATTGTTTCTTGTCTGGTAAAGCGGTTGCTTGCTTGTTTTCTGCATAAAAAACTTTCCAGGTCAAATCCCAGATATTTCACGGAATCCTTCCAGACAGGCCCTATATCTCTTTATCCCAGATTATCTCAGATTATCTGGCAGTGGAGATTCATATAATACGGTTTAAAGCAGAAAACCTGGGATCAAATAAACGGCCTGTCTGGAAGGACCCTAGGAGACAGTTTGAAACCATTACTTTATGTTGGTTTCAATGGTTTTAATTATTCATATTGAGATAGTTTTAGGTTTAAATCCTTATAGTCTGTAGGTTGTAAATTGTATAATGTATTTTTTGTACCACCGTTGACTGTTTGAGTATCTTCCAGAGGAAAAAATGGTTTATTATTATTATTATTATTATTATTATTATTATTATTATTATTGTCATTATTAGTTTTGAATCTTATCCCATGGTTTTCATGCTTGATCTTCAGGTAGGGCTGGAAATAGACTCCCTACCTTAAACCTTAGAAGCATATACTATCTAGTGCAGAATTTATATATTTATTTGCAGTACTTATATTCCGTCCTTCTCACCCCAAAGGGGATTCAGGGCAGATCACAGAACACATATACGACAAGCAGTCAATGCCGATTATGCAATGCCAAGACAGACAACAGAGAGAGGTATATTTAGGCTTTTAAAAAATCATTCAGCATCTTTTGGAGGCTGTGCTTGGTTCTGGCCACAGGGGGGTGCTGTTGCTTTATCTCCTTGCTGAAGAGCTTTCTTTGTTCATAAACTTTTCCTCCCAACTCCGTGCCTAAAATACCTTCCTGCTTAATGTGGTTCCTTTTCATCTACTCACATTGCTGTTTTTGATCCGCTAGGTGGGAGGGGAACTAGGCTTAAGGTCAGGAGCTCACTCTAACCTGGCTTCGAATTGTCAACCTTTCGGTTGGCAAGTTTTACTGTATCTGGTGATTAACCTGCTGTGCTAAAACCAAACCTATACCTGCCTACATTAAGGAAAATCATGTGCCCATGCAACTTCAGTGTATGGTCAAGGTGGCAAAATTTAATAACGGGGAAGATAGATGACAATGCTAGCAGGTGTTGCAGTAGTTTTCCTTCGTCTGAGCTCACTGAGAAGTGTACAATTCTGCCCCTTCTTTCCACTTCCCCTGTTGAGTTGATTGAAAAATATTTTTTTTGTGCATTGTGCAGCAACTGAAGTAGGCTGAAGATGAAAAGTGGGAGGAGAAAGAAACTGCAGGAAAAGTGGGATGACAAAGGATTATTTGGGACAGTCGCTATAATAATATAATATAATCCCAAACTAGGGAGACCAATGGTTTCTGCATGTCATATTTCTATCTCAGAAATAAGACCAGACATAAGTAGACACAGATCTTATCATGGTGGTAAAGGATGTAATTGGGGGGGGGGGGGGAATCAAACTACATTTGGACTGGAATTAAGAGAATTTGGACTGGAATTAAGAGAATACGCACATATTCTTAGTTCATGGCTTCTGCGTGTCAAGCCAGAGATGAGTTGGGGGGGCTTCTCAGTAGGGGAGGCCCTACCCGTTATGATAGTGTGCGTCTATATCTCTGCACAATCTCTAGCTAGAGAGAAACTCCACCTCAGGGACCTGCTGTTCTCTTGACATGTCAAGGGCTGCTTGCTGCGTTGTCCTTGAAAGCAATGGCTGCAGCTGCGGATTGAGTGGGTGGATGTGGGTCGCAAATGGAGAGACTGCCTGGTCTTTCATCCACGTTGCCCTCATTGCGAATTACCAGTTCCTGATGACAAGGCTTAGAGGTGTCAACCCCCTTGCCTTTGTGAAAGCACCCCAATATTCATAGCACTCAATGGCACTTCCCAGATCTATCCTCCAGTCTCCCTGGGCACCCTTTCCCATTCAAGCCATCTTCTTCTCACCCCTCCTACTGCAGTTAAATATTTAGAAGAAGCAGAAAGACTGAATGATCAGAGTTTTATGTGATGGGGAGAAAATGAGGAGACGCAACTAGAGGTTTGGAAAAGATTTGTGGATGGATAAAACATGCGTAAATGGATAAATACAGAAGAACAGGGAGGCAGATAGGAACTGCATGTGGATGGATAGATGAAGTGTTCCCTGATCATGAACACATGAGACGGGCATATGTTTTATGGGTATCTTGAAAGTTGCCTCAGGCCTTTTCTTGCTGCATGTCTGCACTTACCTATATAGACCTTCAAAAAAAAAAACCAATGACTTTTCATATCAAGGTCTTTAAAATCCAGACATCACGAAATTCAGAGGAGTGAAGGCTACAACTTCCCAAATTCCACAGCCAACATACAGAACAAAGTGTTTAGGGGATTCTGGGAACAGAAGTCCACAATAAAATTAGCACAGCAGGTTAAATTGCTAGCTACAAAAAGATTTGTCAACCGGAAGGTTGGCAATTTAAGCTGTGGGTCGAATTGAGCTTCTGCCGTTTATTTATTTATTTATTTATTTATTTGTATGCTTATATACCGCAATATCTCAGCCTACAACGGCGACTCATTGCGGTTAACAGTACTTAAAAACAACAATAATCAAACAATTTAAAAGCATAAAAAACATATACAGTACACAGTATCGGGCCACCAATACCGACCAATGCATCTCTTAGTTAAAATCATAATCCGAATTCATCGTCAATAATTACCAGTCCTTGTCATCAACTTCATCGCACCGGATTACCCGAATGCTTGTTCAAACATCCATGTCTTAAGTTTTTTTCGAAATACCAACAGCGAGGGAGCTGATCTTATCTCTATAGGGAGGGCATTCCAAAGCCGAGGGGCCACCACAGAGAAGGCCCTGTCTCTCGTTCCCGCCAGCCGCACTTCTGAAGCCGGAGGGACAGAGAGCAGGGACTCTCCAGAAGATCTTAGGGTCCTGGTGGGCTGATAGGCTGAGATACGTTCGGATAGATATGTTGGGCCAGAACCGTTTAGGGCTTTAAAGGCCCATTTCTAAGCCAAAGAGCCAGCATTCTCCGTACACATCTCCAAGGTCATGTAGCTCTAGCTTCTGCTTACCTAGCAGTTCGAAAGCAGCAGCGTGGAATAATGGAACAACAGCACCTCCCCATGGCAGAGTTGAGCATAGCCTCCAGATACCGGAGATGAAAAAAAAGAGGGAAGCCTTGCCTCTCTCTATGTATTGCCTGTCTTTGTTGTTATGGCATTGAATGTTTGCCATATATGTATTCTGTAATTCGCTCTGAGTCCCCTCGGGAAGATATTGCTGAATATAAATAAAGTAAGGTAAAGGTAAAGGTTTCCCCTGACATTAAATCTAGTCATGTCCAACTCTGAGGGTGGTGCTTGTCTCCATTTCTAAGCCAAAGAGCCAGCATTCTCCGTACACATCTCCAAGGTCATGTGGCCAGCATGACTGCATGGAGTACCGTTACCTTCCTGCCAAGGTGGTACCTATTTATCTACCCACATTTGCATGATTTCGAACTGCTAGTTGGCAGAAGCAGGGGCTAACAGCGGGAACTCACCCCGCTCCCCAGATTGAAACTGCCAACCTTTCTGTCGGCAAGTTCAGCAGCTCAGCAGTTTAATCCACTGCACCACCAGGGGGAGATAAATAAAGTATACTATTGTTGTTGTTGTTGTTGTTGTTGTTGTTGTAGTTGTTGTTGTTGTTGTTATTATTATTATTATTATTTTCCATGCTTTGTTTAAAAATTGGTTTTAGCCTACCACCATGTGATTTTAAAACTATACATTTGTTTTACTTATTGTTTTGGCATTGGGACTTTTCAAGGATGCACATGCATAGCTCCAAAGTTTCAAGCAGCCTCCCTAAACAGTCAGGGTAGTTCAAGTTCTAAAAAGAGGGTTATTCCTGCCTTTTACATTACCTCTCCTTGTGAAAGGTAAGTACAAGGAAAGAAAATTTGGTGTGGATTGGGAAGAGCATCAGTCATTACAGTTGTGAAGCGTCAATGTAGAAGAATCTCTGGATTAGTGACCTTGGTGCATAGACTACTGCAGCCTTCCCCAAAGGCTGGGTGCTATAGCAGGCATGGGCAAACTGACCCTCCAGTGTTTTGGATTTCAACTTCCACAATTTCTAACAACCCACTGGCTGTTAGGAACTGTGGGAGTTGAAGTCCAAAACACCTGGAGGGCCGAAGTTTGCCTATGCCTGAGCTATAGTATGAAACAACTAGAAGTCACTATACTGGGGAAAGCTGGTGCGTACAAAATTGGAAAACCATGTCATGCCTCTGTTTCACAGCTTGGATCTACAACTCCCAGTGTCCTCTAACCAGTAAGATTCTGTGAACAACAGCCCCAAAAGGGAACTG